CTGATAAGAATTATTTGCAAAATTATATATATATATCTATATATCTATATATAAAAGAAAAGGGGGGAGGGGTTACTATTCAGTCTATGCTGAATCTATTTTCTTAGCAGTTGCTGTTAGATCTAACTTCAAACCAATAACTGTCTGGGGTTGTCCCCCTTCAGATCTAACCATTGCATAGTGAGAAAGAAAACTCGTTCATTTTAGCCCCTCTTCTGTTGTGTGAATATCAGTATTTAGATACTTTGAAAACTGTTCAGTAGTATAGAAAACCTAGTTTTGCAAAATGGTATTTGTTGCTGTATAAAGCCCTAGAATTTCAATTTGACTTTGTTTTTTGTTTGTTTTACAAATGTATATTAAGAGCTAAATGGGGATGAGAGGAATTGGTTTGAGTTTTTGATTTTTCTTTTCATTCCAAGATATTTTGGATTGGGAGATGTGGAGAGAGAAATTGAGTGCATTTTATTTTTGCACTTGGAAATATTATGAAAAAGTTTCAGTTCCTTACCTGTGTGGAGTTTTTTTGGGATTTTTTTTTTTTTTTTCCTCTGACAAATTGCCTGCGTTATCTCATCACTGATGCAAATGTCTAGCACTGTTGAATCACCTGGGAAGAGTGCATTTGTTTAGAAAGAACGAGCAAAACTTCTCGTACTAAAATCCAAATGCCTTTTTGGGGAAGCCTGGACAACTTCACAGTTTCTTTCCAGTGTGGGGCTGGCTTCAGCTTCGGCTGCTGCTGGAGGAAAGGGTAATGGAAAGAGGGGCAGAAGTGTGAAACTTGCCTGTTTTAAAAGCTATGTCAAAACCTTGTTGGGTACCGCCAGTTCGGCACAGCAGCTTGTAAATTTGAATTTCGAGGGAGACTTAAAATAAGCCTTAAAATAATTGAGAAGACTTATTTTAAGATTTGGAACTGAGGATAGAAACGAGTCTGCACATACTTGTCTTGCAAGCGTCGCTCCCTCAGCGATGCTAGACTGCAACCTGTTCTCGTTCGGTGTGGAACAAAACCCCACAGCTACTGTCGTACCCGTTGGGGTAGAATTGTGTCGAAGGTTTTGTAAGTGAACAGAAAATGCTACGTGGGTGTTAGGCTGTCGGGATTCCAACCAGTTTTGACATCGTTTTTAATCTGTGGTTCTTGGAGTGTTGCAGGTAACTTAGAGGATATATTTATTGCGTTATGTGTTTCTGCAAAGTTATAGGTAAAGGCACCAGGAAAAGCCTGAAGCGGTTCACACGTGTTAAATGCCGGAATTGCTTCTTCCTTTGTAGTCAAAACTGCGTTTTCAGTGGGGTAACACTGAACTGGGCCAGTTAAGGTACCGCGCTGGGTTTAGATGGTCCTTAAAACACTCGCTACGGTCTTTCCAAATCGCCTCCTCCCCATCTGTATGTTCCTGTTCCCCTTCTTGCAGAAAAAAAGAAACCTAAAAAACCAACAGAGAGAGAGAGAGAGAGAAAAGCTCAATTAGACGGAATATTCACATAACGATGTGACGCCCTAAAGGTTGACTTGTTTGGGCGTGGTGGAGGAGGGGGTTAGACACGCGTTTGAGGACAAAGCTTTGGTTTATTTCTCCCGCTGTCGTGTTTGGGGTTCCTGCCTCCGCAAGGGCTATTAGTTCTGCCGCAGAGCTGCCCGAAAGTCGCCTCATCGGCCCTCTCCTGGAAACAAACCCATTTCACGTAGAGCTCCCCTCGGCACAAGAGACTGGACGTGCTGCTCGGCGGCCTGGCCTGTCCATCGCCGTCGTTCAGCTGGAGCACCCGGCGCCGTGTCCCGTTTCCCCGACCCTCCACTGCTTCGCTGCAAACTGCTGCATGAGCTGGTTTGACATTGCTCAGATGCTGCTTGCTTCCCCCCTCTCCTGGGGAGAGGGTTAGAGCAGCGTTGGTTCTCGCAAGCCATATAACCTTTCTTTGAGACGTTGCGACTACAAGATTTTATAATACAGTAATAATGAAAATGACTATTGTACTTAGATTTTAGCAACTTGTGAAATAAACCCCGGATTTTCATTTGAAACCCGTGTTGCAATTTGGGAGCTGTGTGGTTTTTTGGTTTGTTGGGTTTTTTTTTTAATTTTACAGCTTTTTATAACCTAATTTATTACCCGTTTGATTTCCCAGCGTCGCCGAGGTCGCGGTGCTGCGCTCAGAAACGCGACAGTCGGCCTGGTTGAACCTTTCGGTTGTGTGGCGCAGTCGGCTTGGGCAGCGTTTCCAGTTCCTGTAAAGGGTGATTTTGCCCGGTTTTGTGCTCTGGGGGTTCCTGTACGTGGCATTCCAGCTGTAACAGTGAGGAAGACTCTTGGTTAATCTTAAATCTGAGATAGTTTGGGGTTGATTATTTCCCGTAGATGTTTTTCTTGTTGTTTTAGGGAACCGTTCATTTACCTCTGAATCCTCAGATGTAGTTGTCGAACAGTTTTGCTTACTAAGGGGGAAAAAAAAAAACAACCAAAATTAAAAAGAAAGAAAGTTTTACCAAAGTACAGTTCAGAATGGAAAAGGGGGGCCTGGGCTGCAGAAGTGAGCAGAGCAGAGCAGGCTTGGGCGGGCCTCGTCAGAAACCCTATTTGGCTCATTTCTCAATTTCTCCTTTTGGAA